CACGCCTCACAACTCAACGTGGCGATACAGCCCGCAACGAAGGAGTCCACAGCATTAGAAATGTACCGTTTCCACTACCTGGCTTACGTAACTTTTCCATTACACAATGGCAGAGTACAGTAGCTAGTTACCTGGCGTTAAATTTATTCACAGCTATGGCTGACCCGGACGGTGTTGCATTAACCGTGTTAGCAACTCTTGAGTATAGGGCGCGACAATAGAGGGGATTGTTGCGGTCTTAAGGCAAACCCCGTATGAAAAGTTTCGGTTGTGTCGGGGTCCGGTTTTCCGGTTACGTCGCAAACGCTCCGGATGCGTGTGCTGTGCACGGTGGGCGTGTCGTGCTCGGCAAATCGTCTTTCGATGTATGCCTGAGTGATTTCAAATAGAAGAAATAGCACCGACGGAGAGGGCGCGAAGGCAACAAGGGGTTGGAACTATAAATATGGTTTTTTATTTCCTTTCGAACGTACGTTGGGTGTAACCCTGCTGGAGGTTTATCACCTTGGCGACAGGTTAGGGTTTCGAAGATGGACTTCATTCGGTTGCAGACGTAATAATTTAGTACCGGGTGAAGGGGATTTTATGATGCGAATTATTCGATTTTTGTCTTCCAAATTGTGCAGAGATAACACTTCTTCTTTGCGCTAATTCGACACGTTAGAAAGTCGAAGGCGTGAAACATCGAGGTTTTCAGAATTAATTACCAAGTTCGTTTCTGTTTCACCTCGCGTTTCTAATAACTTGGAGCAGAGCTACGTTCAGTGAGTAAACTTCTAGCTAGCTTGACAGCAAACATTCAAGGCGAGAGCAACCATCAGACACGTGTTTACGAGTGTCATTCGCAGCGAATCGGTCCGTGATCGCGTATTTCCCTTGAACTCTAAACTTACCATTTTCTTCATAATCCCACAGCGTACCGGAACTTTAGAAGTCGGAACGTAAACCTAATACAAACTTCGGTAGCTCAATTTAACGCTGTTATACACGTGGTGATAGAACGCGTAGAGATGCCGCGTGACGATGCAACGAATACAACGCGTGACAATAGAACGATCGACTGAAATCGCGTTCAATTCCCAAACGAATTCGTACACGATTGTAAAACAAACAGAAAGCACGTCGAAATCAAGTTACCGGCTAACGAGCGATAACAACACGATCCATTTTAGACAAACACTGCACCGAGTAATCTATCGAAGCCAGCCGATCTGGTCCATTTTCGAAGCCGTCGATTCAGCAACGGGTTAGTCATCTTGGGGAACAATGAGAAATTCGACGGAACAAGCGCAAGCCACGATATCAGAATATTGTGCATGTTGTCGATGCCTCCGGGGTTTACCTGTTTCTCGACAAAGCCCTTTCAAACCTCCATCCATCAGTTTCTTTGGGCCTCCCTTTATCGATGTATCCACCGTGGATCACGAATGCAATCGCGATGGCCCATCTGCAGGAACCTCGAACTTCAGATTACGAACGCAAACGTTGCTGATCGACGTTCATCCGAGAAACTTAATTCGTTTTGACGTCGTCGTTTAACCCTCCGTGTCTCGCGACAGTCCTCTATTACCGTTATTCGGTAACCGAATTACTACGTTGCGCACTTTGACAGATGCTAGATCTCTCGATAAGCCTTATCGTTCTGCACGAGAAAACAATTCACGATAAATAAAGACATCTAATTCACGATTCGTCGAGCATTCATGGAACACTTTCCTTTTCTGGTGGGCGTCTTTGGCGGCCGGTACGTGACTGCTGAATGCTGCAAACTTTCAATTTTCCGGAGAGAGGCAAACCCATTTCAATTTGCCAGGCTTTCGAGGTAAATGATAAGAGATTCGGAAAGATTACTGAAAAGATGTCACGTCTTTCGTTAACATTTCTATACTTTGCGTTTGTAATAGTATTTCAGTACCTTTAATCTAAAGCTGCAAACGCTAATGTCTTTATCCCTTATTTGTTATTTTGTACGTGGCGAACAAAATTCCTATTGAAGGATGAAAGTTCGAGGAATTCCAATCATCGTACCTCGGTAGAAGTTATCGTCTAAGCGATTAACGATTAAAACAACTGCTTTTAACGAGGTAGAGCCGTTTCCGTTCGATACAAAGCGGCTTTTAAAGCCAGTTAATGGTCCACTAAGTGACCTGTAATCGAAAAACTTTCCACACAATACAGCTTGATCTAAAGGTGCTGGGGTCGAGAGATTGCACCGGTTGCTGCACATCGGCCAATATGGTGGTAACGCGATACCAGGCTGTATTACCTCTTTAATCATAAGCTTTAACGTATGTACGCCATGTATCGAAGAGGATATTAACTTTTCGCGATAAGATCTCCCGTCTACGCAACGTCGATTCTGTCCACCGTTCATGAAAATCATTGTCGACACCCCTGCGACGCGCACCCCTAGTGTACCATTCTGTTTCAGATTGTTCCTCTTTAAAATAGACTCCCATTATTTAAAATGTTGCTCGAGCAATGAGACCCGCGCTCTAATCATTGATTGTTTGAAACACGATCGAAATCCTCGTCAACGAAGTCTGACGAGGTTCGGAAACTATTAATTGGTGCTTTAGAAATTCCCATTTATAAATACCACGATCTGATTTCAGAAACGCGAGCAACGAAAGTACCGATGCTTCGGACGACCCCGTGACTTTGCTCGATCTTGACCCGGTTTCGAACGACGCGAAATAAATTTCCATAATCCATGGAGTTGATTCGGCACCTCCGTGCAACATTAAAGTCCCATCGTTCCGCTTGTCTTCCCGTGTTCGCGACAGACCAGAAGTAACCGTGTAACTTGCTGTTTCCCTTGAAACTTCTGCAGATAAATCAACCCTCGATGCGTGCATGAGTTCCAGCAAAAACGTAGTAGACCATAATTCAGGCGATAGAATCAAAATTGTACCGCAGAGAGAAATTGATGTTACCCAAAGCACTTACGATAACGAATCGTTGTACATAATCCGCATAAACCGCTCATCGTTCAGCAATAACCACGAGCAGCGACGATTATGGCTCGAAATTACTTGACTCGGACGGTTTCCACGATTTTAATTGGTCGACCGCAATAACGTTAGTGCGGAACGATTAGGCGATTGTCAGCGGAGGATCGAACACGTTCACGAAAGTGTAGAGTCGTGTACTACGTCGAGCACAATTATTAATGCCGGCCTCTTTCAGGCATTCTCCTCCGGACAGGATCCTTTGTCACGAAGTCCTTTTTTCTGGTAGGTCATGTGTCACGCGACCGGGAGAATTGCCGTGGCCCGAATGAAATCGTCGGATGTCAACCCTAAAGTACAGCCACTCGAGTTACTCGGAAACACGAATCCAGAGGACAACAGACGTTTAACTCTAACATTGTCAGCCGTCGAAAATAGGATGCTACCCCTGGCATCGAATGCCCTGAAAAGAGATTCGGTAAGGATCGCTAGGTACTGTAGACCTTCATTCAGAATTATGAAACCTCTGATAAGAAAAATGGACGAAGGGATTATAGCAGAGTGGTACAGTAGATAAGCTTGGTAACGTAGAAAGTTTAGATTCGATTTTTGGGATGTTCCAAATCCTATTTTTCACGGATTATCATAAACTACCGAACCACCGGATTTTTGAAACTTCTCTAGGATTTTTGCGGACGAATTTGCAGAATTTCAGTTGTCCTCGAATTCTGTAGCTCGCGGTGACCCCAGGGGAAATGAGGAAAACGTTGAAACTGCGGTGATTTGATCTCGGTCCAAACGAATAAAAATTCAAACTACACGCTGAAACTGGGACACAGAGAGTAAATCGAGATTTTTTTTGGGAACATGTCAATCCTGAGGAAAACGTGATTCCGTTGAAACTATTTTAATTGACGATCCATAGAGATTTTGCAAACGTTCGCGGAACAGACGAATTGTTTCGCGAAACCTTTCGTATTTTCCTGACACTATTGATCCTTTATCTCTTTCCTATGGAGATGATATGCATCCGTTCGTTTAACGTCTAAAAAGATTAGAGGAAAACAGCTGTTTCCAAATCGATGCAAGTCCATGGAAAAGTTGGAAAGCTCTGGGAAGTTTGTCCCTAGTTGTTTCGATATTTTCTCTTTCCCTTCTGGAATACTTCCCTTCCAGACGCGTATTTACATTTAGATTGAATTCCGTATTTGTTGAGCAACTACGTAACTCCACTGGACGCAGATTTCTGACGGGAAGAGTCTACTTATCCAAGCTATTTCTTATACGAAATGTGGCCCCGGGACACTTGTCAACCTTCGGATTAAATTTACCAAAAATCGTATGATCATTTTTTAGTCAAAAATATTCTAGGTATTAACTTTTACAAAATGCAGAAGCCTGCACCTACCAAAAACGTCTGAATAAATAATGGCTCGCTTAATTACTTGATTACACCTTTACTCCCGTTTAAACAAAATGAATTTCACTGGGACTTAATTATGCGTCCTCGAGCAGTGTGCTTGATTGCTCCTTTAAGTTGGTAGACTGTGTTTACTCGATTAGGTGTTTTCCAACGGAACAACGGTGTTGCTCCGTTCATTAACGAGGCGGGATGCTGATGACGGAAATTTCAAGGCTTGCTCAACCTCGAACTCTTCCTGACCTGATTCGTACACTTCCTATATCTCGTTATCAAAAATGCCTCGCAAATCGAGATGAATTCGTGGAAATATTTCAAAAGCAAGTTTCGTTCAAAAGTCTACTCCGCGGTATCGATGTTGATTGAATCTCAGCAAAGAAAAATTCGTGGAATGTTGTAAACACACGCGTTTGTTGCCGCAAACATTTCCAATAAACCGATATAACCGTAAATATTCTGTTACCTTCGAGGAGCTTCCATCGCTCAAAATTTCTGTGTCGAATAATAACAGGGGATGATCAGGGAGTATCGAATGATTGCCTCAGGAAGGGTCGGGTATCTCGAAAATGGAGATTCAGGATCGTTTCAGGGCTGAAATCTGTAAGCATCAGTACCACTTAGACACTTTTTATTCTCAGTACTCGGCGGTTACGTTATAAATGGGTCACAATATGAGTTCACCTTACAATCGCTCACAATGGAATGGTGAAGTGTAATAAAATTAATGAGTACATCTGCCAATTATGAACCAATTCTGCCATTGGCGTAACTTTTCTGTCCAGAATGAGTCGTAAAAACGTTATCTTCGTTTCTCAGTTAAATTAGTCCAAATATTTATTTCTATCAAGAAATTTTACGAGAGGTATTTCAAGGGAATCCGCAGTTACGCCAATGTGTACATGCTTTGTTCGATTTACGTTTTCTTGCACGGCAGATTGGAACGCATTCCAATCTTCTTCCCGATTGCTCCATTTTGTTCGGTATTTTTATGGATCGTATACGCTGTGTCGCGTAAATGAAATACGAACAGATTCTAATCGTGTTTGATTAACCGTGGAGCAATTCTGTGTGTACTCTAAAGGGTCGGATTCGTCAGTTCGAGGGTAATGTAATTTAACGAAACATGTCGCGTGATAAGCTGCCGCTGCTGCATTCAATTCATCCTCGCCTGTTCTGTGCAGATAATACGTTGCAGGTTGCTGGCGAATTTATTTTAAACGGACGTATATTGGCGAGCTTGTATGAAGTTTCTGCATTTTCTCTGCTGTCCAACGTCGAGTTTGATACGATATATAGTTGCATTACAGCCTACGTAATACGATATTGTTTCTTTGTTATTGAATCATTTCACATACGAGTTACAGCGTTAATATGTATCAAGTGTAGCGTAGAAAGTATGACACAATGCGAAATAGCACTTACGGCATATCGAGTAGAAGCTTAAAGGTTAATAAAATTCATATCAATCGAGTGCTATGTTACTTTGTGTTATCAAATCAATACGTCAAAGAGCTAATGGTTTTCTATATAATAAATGAAAAATTTCTGATCCATTGCGACTAATTTAACGCATCTAATTTATTCCAACAATAATCCAACTTTGAGTTATGAAAAAGTAAAATATTTCGAAGCAGGAAATTCAGAGAAAATTGGGTTAAAAACGGCTCCCATGAAACCGAGTCCCTCTACGCTGCAATTACAAACACGCCAGTATCCGGTAAAGTGTTAAGTTTACCGCCGGGCAATTTCCATACGCAACCGCTAATGATTTATAATGAGCCACAAATTGCACCTAGTCGTCCGGTTTCGTTAGCTTTGTTTCACCAGTGTTTAACAGAACCTGGCTGTTAAAACTACGAAAAGCGACCCGCGGATGAAGCGTTTAAAGGAAAGAAGAAGTCGAATTGCGTGCATTTATACACGCAACTTCTTGGAACACGTTCCAAGAAACGTTCGAGGTAAGTACGTTACCACAAACTTATAACACGCTTAGAACATTAAAAAGCGATATGTTACGTCACACGAAGTGTTAAACGCAGTTCGAACAATCAGCGAACTTTTCCCCTCTGACCTCGAAAAATTGCGAGCACAAGTTTTCTCGTTCGTCCGGATGTATCGACGCTTCTCGATTAACAGAAAGTCGCTTGGAACTTGGAATCGTTTCGCCTCGTTATTTTTTAAAAAAATAATTCTCGATATATTCTGGAGGTTGGTCATTCTTTCTACCGTCGCGTAATGAGGTCGATCTCGAAGCGACGACATCCTCGTTCGCCGATTTTTCGAACGCTCAAGTTTCTCGCATTCGAGAAGAACGTTTTGATAATAATTCGAAAGCAGCGATTGGACCCTCGGAATTCTTCGTCGTAGATGCAGCTGCAACGAGTCCACGGTTCGAGCTTCGATGCAATCGGCGATCGATGTTCCCTCGCAAGATCCGAATGTTTCGTTGGGTCACTGAGCACGCTAATTCCCAGCTCAGAGAGCCATCTTTCTTCGAGAAGAGGTTGAACTTCGTTGCTCCTCGAATAGACCATCCTCGGGAGACTCGATACGCGGACTCGCTCGTATTTAGAGAAAATGAAGATTCGATGAACATCTAACACGTTGACTGCCATGAAACTCGCTAGAATTTCTATTGGAAATTTCTATACTAGTTCTAAGTATTTGAAGTTAATGGAAAATTAGGAAATTGAAGTTTGAATATTCGTGGCAGTCAAGATGTTAATAATCGACGAGAGAAACCGATGAAACAAGTCGTGCGTCGTGCTCCCTCGAATAACGCTTTGTCGCCGGGATCGATATGTAGTTACAAACACCGAGACCAGCTACAAATTTATATTTCTAACGCGACTGAAATTAACTAGGACACAATATATTGAAATTTATTGACGTACAACAGAATCGGTATTACACGAGGTCTCCAAACACGGACGAATCGAGATCGTCGCGTTTTCTATGAGATTGGACGTATTTTTACTGTCGATAAGGTGATGATTTTCGAACGATGGGTATTAAGAACTCTGGATACAAATTTACTTCTTTAATTTGTCAAACTGTTCTATTTTTGCTGATTTCGAAAGATCGGTCAAGAATTTAGACGAAGTTAGAAACGTTGTTGAACGTTCTCGTACGAAATAAGTATTTCATACGTTCGAATCAAGCGTCGTCATTCCTTACACTCATTGCTATTATATTCTTAATAAAAGGGAAGAGGATAAAGCGTTCCGCCGTTCTCCATCGACCGAAGAAAATCAATAAAGCAGCACGGTGCTATCTAGTAATCGCAGAGTAATTTCGCGTACACGTCGCAACGTACATTGTTGATCAGTATCCATATTGTTGTTTCACATTGATATCAATCGGACGGCCTAATTAACAGTTGTATCAGGACGATGTTTAATAAAGATACTTTCTCCGCGAACTATCGACGCTCCTTGAAAGAGAGACACCATTTCCGATGTCGTATTAGCGCACGACGCGATCGCTTATTTTCTTTCTATACAGGAACGATCGTGAGACATGTATCGATACGATACGATTCACGGTCGTTCGTAGGAACAGTGCAAATGATATAGAAAAATGTAATCGATGTTTGCGATAGTTGTTTCGTCGGTACCGTAAGCAACGACGGGAACCATTCCAGCGGACGATGAGAAGAAACAGTTGAAAGATGGCGGGTCCCACGGTTCCCGACGCTATTTCCGTCCGCGAAAGAAGGAAACACTCGTACGTGTTTATGAGTTCTACGTTAAAGCCTGAACCACGATTCGCGACACAAGTGCGTGCAAATTATCCTAATCACTACCAAATAGTTACGACACGGCTAAACAATACGCGTTTCGAACGCGCTGGTACCTCGTTTTACGCGGCTTCGGTAAATCGAGGGATCATCGTGTTCGTCTCTAAGGACGAAAAAACACGACGCGATTCTACAAGACATATAATTATAAATACGTATTATTATGTATATCGTACATACACGTAAGATACCTATATGACGGTGGTTAATTGTTGAAATCGATCGAGTGTTCCGTGCCACGTGAAAATGAAGTTTGTCCAAGGAGTACATCATAGTATTTAATTATAGAAAGCTAGAATTTTATTACGTTTGCGTTCCACTTTCAAAGTTAAACCGAAGAGGTACCCCGCTTAATTAAAGCGATGTTTGCGATAAAAGCCGTGGGCCATCGGTGCCACGGAACACGTTCAAATACGAACAAACGAAGAAACGCGATAACGACTAGCTCGTTGCGCCGTTATTTAATCAAATATGTTGGACGCTATCAAACCATACAGTATAAAAATAAATAAGCTCTCTATTCTATATAAATTCAACGACACGTTAACGTTAGATATATCAACACAACTGTTAATTCTTACCAGCTAGCGAGAAAAGTCATGAAATGGAAACCTATCGTGGAGTTCTAGTTTGGTCGCTCACGGAATAACAGAGTATCCCTCGACTCGAGTCGCGTACAGCAAAATCTCGATATTTTTCTACGTTAGGGACTCTACAGACGCACGTTTTGTGAATAATGTGTGCTAGCATAGTTTCCGATAGCGAATTTTAACGAGAAACTATAGTATTCCTACAAGCTGTAGAATTCAGGGCTATAGTTCGCTTAGGAGCTATACCTAATCTAACTTAACCTACCTTAACCCAGGTTCACGTAACGTATGTGAACGAGTGACGTTTCGGGAAGTTATCGATAAGGAAAATATCGAGGTTCTACTGTACGTAGAGTTATACGCTAATCCATTTTATCGACCATCGAGACTCGTGAAAACGTCAAATGCTCTCATTTAATATTTGTCGCACGGAAATCGAAACTTTAGACTGCCTGAGAATATTTGACCCTTCTCGAGAAATGTTCACCTGGTCATCAAAATTCATCGAGGCAGAATTTAAATAAAAATGTGAATTTTTAGAATTACGTTTTCATTTCTCGATGGCGTCTATTGACAGGCTATCGCCTATCGAAATTTTAGTCAATGTCACGTTCAACCTGCACACAGTGAACGATAAGGACCTAGATCATTCCACATAATCGTTGAATGCGCTCCAGCTAAATGAATCTTCGCGACTATCAGAATTTCGTTGATTCTTAGGTACGATTATCTATAAACGAGGACTCTAATACACGCGGCTACTGACTCGAAAAGGTTCGATGGCCACACTTACGTCTGCGATTTATTCGCATGATACGAACGATTCAAACGAAGGAAAAATGCAGAAGAAAATTGAGCAGTCGCCGGGTAAGTTAACGCGAACGAACCTTTATCGAAATCGCTTATAATACGATTAACATACGCTTATCCTATTCGCTTACCGAAATATCGTACATTTTATGAAACGTTGTCTCGCGAAATTTTAGGGAAATGGTTATTATACACTGTTGGTCAAAAGATTGGAGACCACCTTCAGGTAGATGTTAAAATTTGACAATTTGTGCGGATATCACTGTTATTGTTTTTATAAATGATTTACACAAACAATTGCTCTTTGTTAAGTAAATAACGATAGAAAGCAAGAGAATGGAATTATTTCGATCGAATAACAATCTAACGCCAAAGGGTTTTTGGATGGTTAGTTCTATAAATTGAATATTTTTATTGATATACTATTTTTTGTAAGCGTCTATTAATTAATTTTACGTATTCATTTAGAGGTGGTTTCGTATTTTTGAAACGTTGGACCACGTGCCATGCGATAAATTACAGACGTAACTGCATTTCAGGTCCCTTTTTTCTCTCAAATTCTCTTTGCTCCCATCATGTACGCAATTAGTGTATGTATGTGTGGGTGTGTATCCGCGTCGACTGAAATAATCTTGCCTCTTGTTTCGACGTGTTTCATTAACTGATCGTTCCTTCTGTTTCCATATTTCGATATAATACATGTCGTTTCCACCTGCAGCGTTCATTGATTCTCGTTTCCCTCGATTCATCGTTTTACATTTTATTATTGATTCTCGGAACTTCTGCGCGTTCGTTTACCGAGGATTTCACCAAATGTTATTTACCGAACGATATTTCACCAGATTTTATTCATTCACAAATCGCGACGATACGTGCTCGAAATAAAACGACCAGCTAATTTCACTCGCAAAATACGAATGTCGAAAAACCTGTAGATTAAAAGCGCTCATTATTCTCCTTTTAGCCTTGCGATTATATACAATTGCAGCGAATAAAGTCTTCAATTTTGAACCGAATCTCGATCATGAACCAGAAGAACGATCACTATTATCGAAGTTGTCTAACAGGAGACGATTCACACACATTTACATCGATACAGACTAATAATCTGTACTGAAAGATTAGCACAGATCGGTAACACCTACGGACGATTAAGTATGGACCCGTTTTCGAATCGTCTCGCGATCATGGACGTCGAACGTGTCCACATGACTCTCGCGTATAGTCATTTGGACGACAAACGAGATTCATGCTTCCTGACGCAGTTAACGCGTTCGCTGTGCACTCACGAATCGCTGTAACTAAAATTTCAGCTTCTGTACTCGGTTCAAATCTCTTGGTATTCTGATCTTTGATGATCAGTGTAATTTGAAGGGGATCTGACGTTAAGTTTAATTAATAATCAAGTCTAAACTCTCATTAAGTTACACCGAGATCAAATTCATATTCCACTTATATCATTTATTCAAGTGTCCGTAGTGTCCACAGCGAACGCGTTAATATCTATTGCCACTATCATGTTGGATTGGTCGATTCTTCGATAACAATTAAGTTAATGTAGCTTGCATATTTTATATTTACATATATATGTATATAGAACATGTATATATGTATGTGTGTACATCAAATTGTCACCGGTTGTTCCATGAAAATGGAAATCTCCGATGCGTTGATTTAATTGACAATTTATCTCTTTCGTCTTAGTGGGATCTTGACCCCGTTTCGTGTTTAGTTAGTCAGAGAATCAAGTTTTGGGATGGCATCTCGAACGGACAATTGCACCCCGTTACTCTACGAAAGGAACGATCTCTCCCTTATTTTATGGACAATTTAGTTAGGCTTTGTAGAGTCGTATCGAGTTGATTACCGTAATTGAATCGTCGCGGATAAGTGGCGGCTTGACGGACACGAAAGGAATACATTTTTGTTGACACCAGTTGATACCTCGTACAAGATGATGCACACAGATCGATTTTCTTTCTTTTACTCATCGATCGTGTCTGCTGTACATGGATGATTTAACTGTTCACCGAGGGTTTGCAAAAATAAAGAGACCGAGGAATATTGATTTTATGTGGATGTCAAGTAGAAATGGTACAAAATAGTCAAATCGTGTAATTAACCTCACTACATGACTTTAAACAATTTTCACAGAAAATGCATCAGCTTAAAGCACGGAACAGAGAAAATGATAAAAAAGATATTCGATGAACAGTTGAAAAAATCGCGTTCATCTCGGTTGCATGACGATACGAATGGAACCCCATAACCGCCGATAAAAACATTTATAAAAAGTAGTATGTACATACAACAAAATCTGGTTAGATTTTCGCGTAACAATTAAACCAGCCAGTCGATTTGCACGGAAAGCACGACAATGAATTTAGGAAGGTATTTCGACAAGAAAGCGTAACTTTTTCGCGAACCGATGCTCAGTCAAGCTTTCGAAAGATCCTGAAAGCATTCAAAGGAACAACGAAAGTCGCTTACCTTTAAGTTCGCCGACAAACTCATTAAGGGTCGATCGTTTACCCCTTTCCTTAACTCTTGAATGTTCTGTCGCTTTAAATCCATGCGTGGAGACTCATACTTCCAACGTCAGATCCGAAATACTTGAAACAGTGACGGGCAGTTCATAAATATTTGATCTCCTTCCGAAAGCGTACAAGCCTGCAGGCGATTCTTCTGATTCTCAGCAGCGAGTTAGATCTCTTTAGTATCTGATCCGCCCGTCACTCGAAGAAATATAGAAAACGAAAAGCTGCAGCAATCCGGTGAAAAATTTCCTGCTGCGTCCGCTTCGTTAGATACTTTGCCAACGATGTATCGTATATATGTACATATTCGCGTTGGCAGCCACGCTATATCGCCGAATTCGATTCGATCAGGTGGATTCGAACGTTGGACCGAGTGGCGGGTCGTTACATACGTATACACCCACATCTCGTTGCGATAAAGAACCAATAACCTTTCTCATCCGTTCATTCTCCCGAAATCGATCGGACTCTCTTTCCGTAATCCTTCCTTTTTCCGGCATTGAGGCTTCTCTCCCCGCTTCGTTTCGCTTTGGATGGTTCGAACTATACGTAACGCGGTCAGAGTTTCGTTCGGGATTTTCCTCTTTGGTAACGCGTTTTTGTCGAATTTCGCGAAACCAATGCTGATTACGATATCGCCGATATATTCGAAGCGGTGGTTGCACGCCCACGGACATTCATGCTTTAAACATTCCTACCCCCTTCGGTTTTATAGAACGTTAATCCTCGACACAAATTTTTTACCTTTCATGCTTTATCAGATCAATTTTTTTTCACCTGTGTATACATTTTAAAAATTTTCGTTTCATAAATTCCGTATGGATAGCTTGTCAACATTTGGGACGTATATTTGGATCACGTATCATGATTTAACTAAGTCACGAATTGTGGAGCGACTTCGTGCACGTCCGAAGCACACGTCGCTTCAGCTTTCCATCTTTCTAACTCGTTGTCTCTCATTTCGGTCTGTACAGTATCTTCGTTAGCACACGAAGGTGTGAAATCATGTTCCGCTGGAATAGACTCGGACGCAACTTTGTCGTTAGACATACTACCAGAATTCGAGTCCGAGTTACACTCGTTCTGCTCCACGACAGTTTTCAGAACGGGTTTCTGGACGATGCGTTTTTCCTTACCTTCCACGAGGATCGTCCACGTTTCTTCGGCTTCCGTTTCTTTCAACCGGGTAGACCTCCGTGGTTATTTATATCTGAAAGGAGCAGAACGGTTAACAGAATTGGAGGTCCACGAGGATAAATCGGAGAGAAATGTCTATTAAGGTTATCCACCTAATCGCACCGACGAATATTATTCACGTACAATGTTGTGTCGTTATTTGTAAATTATATATAATTATGAAAAGCTAAGCGAACGATAAGAATACGCGATAATAACAGTGACTCTGGTTTCTGTATACCATTTCCCTGCCTCGTTCGGCAGCGCACGAACATAAAAATGATTCTGATTCGACTCGCGGCAACTGACGTGGCAATTATCGCGAAAAGAAAAGTGGCGCGAGTCGGGATCTCGTGGTCGATGGTAATCGCGAGCCAGGTCAGTCGGTGAGCAAAGTTGGACGCGCGTGCCGGGTAATTCTTTCTCTCGATTTCTCCGATCACGCGAATCCGCGGTTAACGCGAAGATAAGAGGAAACGAGAGGAGCAAAAACCGATGGTTCTCTGGGAACACGCGAAACGGAAAACGCTTGGTTCATCGCGAGCGCGTGACCTCCTCGGTATTTATGAGCCTCTGGCGCGTACACGCGACGAAATTCGTTGACCTACTATTTTGCACGTACAATATACATGAAAAGTGTTTGCCCGTCAGGCATTTCGCGAAAGTGACAAGTAGACTGCGATCAATTATTTATCAAATTGCCGGAACGTTAACCGTTTGTACGTATTTTTAGCAACTATTGTCGGGAATTCGACATAGGGGAACATGTGCCAGAAAACTGCGCTTGGACGAATGTAGGACATGGTTTATCGCGTTGTTAACTGCGAATCCTGTCGGTCGAGTTTCGTGATTCGCGTGTATCTGCTCGAGCAAAGCGATCATTTCTCGGTTAAAAAACGATCGTCGATCGCTTACCTTTCCGGCAGAGGGCAATCCAGGATTCTGAACGAAGCCAGCACGATTATTACGAGAAACATGATCACGAATACCATGTATATTACGATAAGGTGCACCAGTGCGAATATGTACAAACGATTTTTACAGTGACTGTTGCGTTGATAATAATCGGACTCGTCGTCTGGCCACTCGATACTCAATATCCAGAAATTTCCTGCGACAGATCAATCAGAACGGATTAGTTTATAGAAATTATATCTGTAACGTGGCGTTTATTTCCAATGTAGCGAGGAAAAGTATAAGAGCAACGCTTAAGTTGCATTCGAATCGGAGCAATTACGCGTGTAAATGTAGCAATGAGCGGCTTACATAAAGTAACCGCTATCACGAACGAAAATTAGGTTGCATCGAGGTAACTTATCACCCGTGTCGGGCCAATTACTCGCGAGTAGAACGCGATCGATCCCGTTTGCTTTCACCGAAACACGAGTATTCGAAGCGAGCAGCTAGATTTTATTTGCTTCTTTTACGAGATGCGACATGTGTGTACCGTTACGCGAAAGTTATTTGAACAGCAAAATATTGGACGACAGATACGCGCTCCAAGTTTATTTTCAATAACGAACAAGTTTTCTAGTGCGCGCAAATTATCCTAAAACAATTCAAACAAAACGTGTTTGCGTTTTCGAGGAATTGTTACGATAGTAACAACATTGCAAATAAACTTCACAAATCATTTTACATGTTCCTACTAAAACGTGTTTTCTTCGCAAACAACCTCTTTATTAAATATCGTTGAAAATTAGGTTAAAACCGATGGGACAATTTGTGTGTATCAATAGACGGATCTCTAAACATCCGGTGGTCTATCATCAACAATTTCGTGTACCTCGAATTATTAAATTAAATTCTGTCCGAAACATATATCTGCAGTGTGCTGCATATGTACACATGGTTTGTCCCGTGACAAAATTGTGCCAACGCTGCATCGTGTAATTTGACTACGAACTCGTGGTTGTAATACGCAGAATCTGCATTCCAGATTTCCAGACTTTCATATGCTCGTGTAGATTTTATATCCCGAAACCGAGGTTCATCCTCGGCTCCTTCCAACTTTATACCAGCCATGAATCATCCAGTAATTCACTTTCGTGCCAAGCAGTGCTCGTAAATGCGGCCCGTATCGAGCACGTATATAAGACGACGTTCGCGATAAAAGGATTAAAATGAAAGGACAGTTAAACGAAGCACCCTTGGGTCACGGGACACGGAGAACAACCGCCCCGAGCGTGCTCGTGATCGATCCGTTTCTCGCGAGAAACAAACTCGAGCAAGATAAAAGCTATCCGGGCACCAGGATAAAGCGTAACTATACACATTTCTTGGTCGGTGTTCTCAAATTTCTGCTTAAACTTACCCATCACGAACCACACTAGTAGGAAGAACGATAAGCCGACGGTAATCACTTTCGTGAACGTTATTTGAGGTCCTTGAGGTTGTGCCATCACTACTTCTGGCCTGCGTGATTGTATCTGAGAGTAAATGCACAAAGTTATGAACATCGTGCCGAACGTTCCGCCGATCACCAAGTAAACCGGTATCTTCGGTTCCCGGGGACACTCGTTGAAGAACTTCCAGCCTGAAACACAACGAGAACCGTCCTGCGGAATATTCGTCCACGTTTCGATCGCTTTCTTTCTTTTTTTTCGTCGAAGAAACCAGCGAACTGGATCGAGATCGAAAAGTTTTCGCGCGTTGAATAATGTAACGATAATGGCGTCGCCTGACTTCCACTCACTGTGTCGCGTCCTATTTCGATACTTAACTAAAAGTAACGTAGCATGCGAACCCTTGCACCGATAATCTTTCCCTTTCCCCTATCTGACACGCAATAATTTACCCGCAATTGTTGGGTAATTCTTTAAACAACCCGCCAGCGTGTACAGGCTATTAAAACAACGATTCGGGATGTAGAAGTTAGGTAATGCTCGCTTAACCGAGTAAACTCCTTATCGCTTTAGCAACCCACGGGTAAAATGCATCGATTCTTAACTTCGCTAGCTTTTAAGTTCGTGCGAGTTGAAAATTCGAAAAAAGTAATTCTATCAAAGTCTTACAGCAAGTAATCTTCTATTAAAGTCTTACAGCAGGTAATGATTCTTCAATAAAGAATCATTTATAAATTCACAAAGAACTTTCGATCGATGATCTGAAAATGTCATAAGCGATTTTTGATGTCGGTTAAAAGATAACTTCTTGTCGGTTCGTATGCAAACAAAGCAATTGGGTACGATAAATTTTTTAGAGCGCGTGCGAACGTTCACCGAAGGTAATTCTAGTTTCTACGAACCAACGCCGCTATGTATCGATTTGGAGAACGTTCTATAAGGGTAGGAGAGCAGGTGAATGCGCTGTTCTAACGACTCGCCTTACCTCGCCGCGCCGACAATCTATATCGGGCGAAAAATTAAGCGGGCTTGCATATCGTAAGTAGCGCACGTCAAGCGTTCGTGAGCCATAAACCTGACGGAGTCGATCAGTTTAGAAACGCGGATCTTGTTCCGGGAACTTTTGACGACATCTCGAGCCACGAAACTGCAATGATTTTCACGTGGCCGCAGCACTCGGCCTTTGATCAGATTAATTCGATCGTCCTGATAAGCATTACACTAATTATGATATCGCGTAGTAGGGTTAATAAACTGTTCCAACGTCGTCTGAGCATTCTCGGATTATCGTCCGCGTATGCAAATTGTAGTCGCATGCACTTCATACTTTGTTACGTGAATGCAGTCCACGATACTGTTGCGAGTAATGCTGTACGCTATGATATGTGACTTCGGACACGATAACCAGACGGTCAAATATCTTGGGAATGCTAACAAAGAAGTCTTAATTACAGTCATTTTTAATTCTTGTAATTCTTACGACTATCGAGTCAGTGGATAGAATAACACGGAGATGCAATGTCGGGAGATGTAGCGTGATAATTTAACACGTAGCAATCTACTGTGGTAATACAACGTGTGGAGATCTAACTCATGAGGATATAATGTCTCACTTTGCTGAAAGATAGAACAAATACGGAATAAGTTGGGAAATTTAACAGAGTTGAAGCAGTACGATTACAAAGCCTACATTCGAGTGTACACGGAACTACGTCGTAACGAGGGAACAGTTTCTACTCTATTACCGTCACGTTAATCATCGAGTTCATTGACGGTTAAAGTCGAGATAGCTGATAATATAGGGAGTAACGACAGTTCACAGCTTCGCGACTAATTATTGATAACTAGTTCTACGACAACAGCAAGTCGCCTTGCACGTAGGAGGTTTCTGAAATTCACAGAACGTGCTTTGATAATTACACTAATGAACGTGGGTCTACGAACGACTCCCCTAATAGCGGATTCAATCGAAGCTCTTATACATATGTCCGTTTCATGATCAGAATTGCACTGCATTGCTAACTACACCGAACATAATTATTCCCGATATGAACGTGACTTTCCATATTTAGCTACTAATGTTCGACTTATCGCTACCATTGTATTCTCGATCGTAAGGTTCTGCCGAATTGGTTGAAGTCGGAGTACTCTCGAGGTAATCGAGCTTTCAAAATGATTTATGATTTAGGATTAATGATAACGCGTGAAGTTCTCTCGACTCACCGTAAATCAGCATGGAGATCGGAACCGCGGATAAGCATACCAGACATCCTGTTGCCACCTTGGTTCTACTGACCACTTTAAGCGCGCGTAACACGAAATCGCAAATGTTATCCGCTTCCAAATTCGCATCCTTCAACTGAAATACCACCGATCCGTACGTCACCATCCTCACGTTTCCATTCTCCTTGGTGTTCTTCGGTATGTTGGGGCCGTTGGTGAACAGTCGACGGGATTCGTCGTTCGAAAACTGAAGAAAAAAACAATTTCCACTTTGATAACGCGAAGGGTATTTTCCTCGCAAGACCTCTATCATAATCTCGCCTACTTGTAGACCTTTCGTGGATCATCGTGATCAGCAGCTTTTTTACGACCACCCTTTTGCTCTTAGGGACTCTTTCGTAAACTCCATACACGGTATCCGGGCTAGTTCGTTACATAGTTCGTAAATTTTCTCGGACGAAATGGGAAAAGGGATGGGAAGGTCGCGACGCTCATAGAATACGCGACAGGATGAAGGATACTCGCGTGTATCTCATCGCGAAATTGCCGAACGTATCGTTACGAGCCCGCTAGGGTGCACGCCAACGGGATTCCATAAGCGAGATAAAGAGAAAATGCTTTCAAGCGCTCGTAAATAGTGGCTGGTCACAGAATGTCTCATGGAGATATACGACCACCGATGAACGTTCATCGATGTAAGCTTTGAAAAATTGTCTCTTATACTATAACACGCGTGTTGAAACGTGTAGTCATTAAACTAGATACGTTTACACACTCGCGACATGTCAAGAAAATTGCATAACTATGAGATCTGTATGTTTACTTAGACTTTGATTATAAACATCAGTACATTTGAGCAACAAGGAACATCCACTCGATTTTTAAAGCAATTTGATCATTGTCCAAGTGCAGACAAAACGTTTTGTACCTGCGAGACAGAGCTACTGGCTCGTCTAGAATCCTCGAAAGCGCTTGGCCCACATCCTAGGGTGTTCTGGACCGTGCTTCCGGCGGACTTCACGCTCCCAGAGTTTATCTCTTTCTGTCGGTAAGGGGAGGAGTTTTTACTGCCGTTCATGCCTGCGCAAACAGTTCACGAACTCGTTAGTAGATCTCTTAATTGCGACTAGTAGAACTCTCGCGTGTTACCAAACAGAACCTTAGCAACTACAAAGGTCAATAGTGAAATCATATTTCCTATGATTCGAAAGAGCCAAATATCAAACACGCAGAGAAACTTTTATTTGTTGCAAGCTATTTCTAAAGTAATTCGAGAACGAAAACTAAATTGGATTTGTCGAAACCATATTTTTTCTCATCGGTATCCTGGTTTCCGCGCTGAATAAACGGTCTTCTTTAATTAGCTCCAATGGGTTTTTCATATCATGGAACAGGAGAAAAGAGACCAAACACGGGAGAAACAGAAACAATTCCACGCGAAATACGTATATTTCTTTCGAGCGGATCGTTCCGAAAAATACGGCACGAATCACGCGACGAAATCCGGTTATTAATTTTCCTTCTTCAGGTAAGTTCGCTTTCTGATGTCTCGTCGCTTCCGTACCGATAAATTCCACGTTTTCAATTTACGAGTCCCGGTTCCGCTCTCGCGGAGAAGAGTCGATTACCACGGAAATGGAAGAGGGGCAAACGCAACACAGCAATTTTTAACGCATCGACAATTTTATCGACTTCGCCGAGTATCCTCGAGTACAGAAATTTTGTCTCGCGTTACCCCGCAACCTTTCGATTTATTGGGTCGTACTGTTGATAATCAGTACAGTAGTTGACAGCGTTCATTTGCGTCTCTTCCGTAGTACACTCGTGTAAATTATACGAATAAGCTATCAAGAGCTGGCCAGTGAATCCTTAACATGTCGAATCTCGATTTTCATAAGAATCGTGTTGCATCGTTCTAGGATTGATTTAGTACACCGTCGAAGCATTAGTATGTCGAAAGGAGTTATCAAAATCTGATACCAACCTGCACCGATCAATCATACACTATCGTTTTCAACTTTCCTTCCTCGGATAGCTCGTAAAACCGTCGCGTAAGATCTTTGAAACTGATCTCTGTTACGAATGAAATTTACAACCCTCCTGGGACGACGTATCAGGTTAGATCGAGCGATAACGAGCATCAAATTGCCATAAGATTTCCCGTGATACGAAAGGACATGATTAAATCGTGTCCAGCTGATACACTGATCCTTATTAAGTCAGAAACTCGTTATGCCAACGCGATTAATTACTTCGTTCAACAAAGACCGGTAAAGTTGTCACAAACGGATATATACGTGCGAGTGATTTTAATATTCACGATGGAAGTATAAAACCCTTCTCTGTTTGTTGCCGGCTTTCAAAAATACTACCATCACGATAATGGTATTATCGCCATTTCGAAAATTAGAAAATCCCGCTCCACAGCTGTACGCTCCAAATGGTTACATTTAACTACTCCGTAGAAATTGCACAATGTTTAATACGCACGGTAATATCATCTTTCATATTTTCAGACTGCCCTAATATTAAAAGATTGCTACACAAAATGCGATGGTGGCTACAATGATGATTAGCTGTAATGAATGGTTGCTATAATCTTGGTATATTGGGCAATATACTAGCCATAAGTTTTCTTGTTTTTATTTCGACATGCATGTTTCTTCGTGCTACATGCATTATGACGCGTACAGATTCAACGCACGAAGAAGCAACGCTTACGAATTCAGTACGTAAAACTTCAACACGTGTAAATTCGAAACGTGACACTGTAATCGCGATGGCGATTCAACGCTGGATGAAAATCGCGTGTATTAGCTATCATCGTACAACGTTCTCGACAACTCGAATTCTCACCTTGATCAGCCGAAGCCCTTCTAGGGTCCTGTGCCATTAGTGCTTTCGTGGTTCTCCGCTCTGGCAAACCATCAAAGCTGCCCCGGGGAGTCCTATCGATAATATCGGGATTGATGTTCCTGCGTGGACTCCTGGTTTCGTCCTCGTTAGCACCGATCGATCCTCTGTGCGCGTCGTTCATGCCGATGCTTCCGCGCGACGACCTGTTCACTTGCTCGTACGGAGCGATCGAGTTTCGTGGGCTTTGATTCAAGCATTCCGAGGCTATCGAGCCTCGTGGACTTCTCTGAGGACTGCGATCCACCAGTTCCATATTCGTGATGCTACCTCGAGGACTTCTGGACGTGCTCGGTACCAACGAGTGTCGAGGACTGCGGCTAGGAATCGGATTTCCGTTTTCGGACAACAGGGACGTTCGGGAACCGGTCAAGGGTGCGATGCTGTTACGGGGGCTCCTGTTGTGCGTGACATCGGGAACGAGCGAGTTCCTGGGACTCAACGGAGCCTCGGGGACCAGAGAATGACGCGAACCGTACAACATGTCGGGCGCTAAAGTCTGGTCCGGGACTAGACTGTTTCGAGGACTGCGTCCTCCGTTTCGGGGACTCCTGTAATAATCGTCCGGCACCAAGGAGTTGCGTGGACTGCGGCTTATTTTTTGGTTCAGCATATTTCGTGATCCGTAGTGGTCTCGATCCAGCAGGGTCCTGTGGTTGGTGCCCTGGAAGGTCAAGTAGCGTTAAAGAACGATGTGGACAATAATTGAAGGAAACTTCTGTAAGAAAGTCACTCCGAGAAGTTTAGAGAAGTGGACCTTGTGTTGTTTCTACGCTTCAAATTTTATAACACGAACGAATACGGACGGACATTCGAAACTTCTACTTTATTGACACCCACGTATTCGATGTAGGTTGCTTAGGACAATTCGCCGTTTATATACGACAATTTCAGGAGTATGTCTCGAAAGTTTGCAAGTCCGAAGCAACATGTAACGCCGCGAGTTTTCAAACGCTCTTGTGTAACTACCGGAGTTTCAGCGTGTTTCGATTGTGGTTACAGGGAGTCTGTGTCCAAACGTCAATACGTATTAATCGACCCGTGTCACTATATCAATACGTATTTTGCAACCGCAGGCACTGCGTCAATCGCGATAGCGTGACAAGACCGTCGCGAAATTCGATTTCGCATCAACGTTGTTCCGTACATCAACGAGTTAAATGTGAGTAAAACGGGATTATTAGTCGCTCAAACTGTCACGGTTAGTCGAGTAACGAAACAAAGGTGTTACAAAGGATCAAAGGTTTAATTATGAACAACCTCGTAATCGTTTTCGGTGTCGAGGGCGATATCGGGTACGAAACTGCCTCTGGGTGATCGTTCCATGGTTCCTCGTGGACTTGTTTGCGGCAAATCAACTGGTCTGTCGGTCGCCACGCTAGCACGTCGCCCTCTTGGTCCAGTCATCGTCGACGTGTAGCTGAGATTCGTCATGTTGCGCGATGCCCTGGAGCGTCGCGACGATGTGCTTCGATGGAGCATCATTGTGTCGCTCTCTCATCCCTGCGAGACAAACGGAAATTGGAGATTACTCGATCGAATATCTCATAAGTCAACTCCTGACGTATCACAGATTAGGGAATTCGGACTTTGAGAATTTCAGCTTGAAAAAATTCAGACGTTCCTCGGGAATCAGAACATTTAGTTTGAAGCTTTGATGATCTGGAAACTTGACGTGGTAGCAGGTGACACGTTCCAAACAATAATGACAAACTCGATATGTTTCGTTCTTATATTCTGTCGTTGCCATGGCATAAAATAGAAAAATTATATTTCCATTCGATCAAACTTTCGAAAGTTTCAGTCGATTAAGGGCGCGTTCAAGGGACAGGTACACGCTGGAACCGCTAACAGGAAACAGTGCCGATACCCAGATTTTTTATCGAAGTTAATCTAATCAGTAGAGCCTTATTTTTCGCCGAATATTTTAACTCGGGCATGCAAAATGTCCAGAGGCACGAAACACGATCCTCCCAATCGGCGTACGATTAGTCTAGCAAAAATAATCAACGGTATCGACTCAATTTCCCGCAGGGCACAGGACACGCCAGGCACGTAATAAACCGCCTTCCATTAAAACGACCCAGATACGTGCACGTCAGTCCGTGCCATTTTCGAATCTAGAATTTTAGCTTCGTTTTAAGATGCTCGACGCGTGCACGCGTCGTTAAACAACGAGAGGATTAATGCAATCACGCGAGAAGAAAGCTCGGGAAACGCGAGTATCACACGAAGTGATTAATATCGTTAGCGTGACTGTTCGGGGAAACAAAAACGATTCATTAATTAATAAAACCTGACGTCTAATGAGCGAGCTGATCGTAATTTAATATTCGCTCCCCTCTCAACCCTTCGTGCTCACCGATTTTTCACGAGAGAACATCTGCAAAACGTCCTTTAAGAAGAAAGTCCTTTCAAAGTCTTTTGATATTTTATCTCTTCCTAAAAGATTTAAACACCGTGGGGTTGGATAGTCTTTCAAATATTCGCATATCAAAAACCACGCTATGAAATAGGTACGAAACTTCTCTGTTTATTTTGCACCGTTTTCACAACATAGGTAAGAGATCTAATCGATATTTTACGAGTTTAAATAGAGAATCGCAGAACATCATGAATGGTTTACGAAGTTCCTCGGCGTAATTAGAAGAGAGTAGGAATCTCGGTTCTTCGGAATTTCGACAAATTTCGAAAGGATTTTCCGCGCGAAGGGTAACGAACGTCGCTCGTACCTTCTCCCGTCGAGATAGAGTCAAGCTCGGATAAAGCAAATCTTGTGGCACGATCGTTTGCTGGCTGGTAGCTGATAACGCGCGATACCGAAGCTTTGCTTCTCGTGAAATTGCATTTCGCTTGGACTATCGGATTTTTAATAACTCAGCGCAGCCAGCAATCAAGCTTCGCAGAGGGTGCACGGTCGATCGTAATTAATGTACGCGTATCGAATCCATGATTCGTGTTAATCGAACGGAAATTGCGTGCAGTCTGTCGAGTCTTAACAGGGTAATTGTCGCGAGGGCCATGCGAGGCCATTTTAGCCACTTCGACACCTCAGAATTTCACCACTTTCGAATCAAAACCGCACCACTTCGTAGCTTCGAAAGTTCGGTGCTCTTATGCGAACACATGCATTACAAATAGGCAGAGAGAAATTATTATTTTGCAAACGAACTCATAAAAGTTTGAAAGCTTCAGTTTCGGAGAACTCGGAGAGAGCTTAATCTGGATACTCGGTTTTTCTGCAGTTTCTCTTAACTGAGGAAAAACAGCGTCTGACAAGAACAGCTCCAGCAAATTTTTCTTACTAACTTATTAAACGGCTCGTCCCAGAATCAGTGTTTTTAATTAGTGCTAAGTTGCGAAGATCATCGGATTCACTTTGCAATTTTTTCAGCAAAATTCGTACGAGAGTAGTTTCTTCTAGCAGCTAACTTTCGCACCGTCCTACGTTTTTGTTCCGTTCTGCATTAATTACAACAAACTACAACAAAACTGTATTAACCTACAGCTATAATATATTCCGGAGCTCGGAAAATTAAAGGAACTAAAAAATTGTGCAAACTAAACGCGTATGTATAAATCAGTTCGTGCAAATTGCATGAGCGTGTAAAGCCTCGGATAACTCTCGTGCAGAGATGATCGAACGGTGCGTCAGACACCCACGGGTCAAGTAAAAAATTGAACGAAGATAGATGGTGCTGCGAAAAACACTGAAATTCGAATAACATTTGCTAAATATAGCTCCTCTATTTCGTCGCCGCCTAAATATAATGCGACGAAAATAATGCAAGGAAAAACGGAATCTTGTTTCCATTATTCATGCAATCTCACGTCGGATCGCGAATAATAAATGACGGAATGAAAGGTAAATTTCGAGCGGGGTTTTGGCAAACGAGATGCAAACGTTTTTCGACGATCGAATACTTTTCGCTTCGATCGTCGTTATCAGTTGGTCACGTTTTATCGTCAACAGGACGAGTTTGTCGGCGGTTTTCGAGCCGTTAGCGGCGCAGGAAATCGCTTCCATTGATTCGAATCGCGTTAATTAATCCTTTTAACGCCGAAGTTGCACGCACGCGGGATTAAAGCAACGGCCACTGAAATGAACTGAAGCGTTCGCGGATTTGTACCACCTTGTTGATTACCTTCAGACAAACTTTGTTGCGATCTTAAGTCAAAAGTTGAAGGAACAAGCTGTTGCCAACTTGAAGAATGATATATACCGCCGTCACCTTGGATAAACGTGGCTTGCCGAAGAATCGCATTAATAAGTAAACAGCAAGGTGCTACTTGTCATACGCTTCCATATATCGTCGCTGAATGGAATTTCATCGATAACATTCTTCCATCGAAACTTAATGAGATTTTGCCGGAGACAAATGACGGGCACAATGGCATCGATGACGTGATTCATTGCTTAGCTACAGGCGATTCGGTTTGGAAATAACCATCGCGATAAATCAAACTATTGTACTGTCATATGAAACAGTTTGGTATTTTACGAAGTTTCGGTCATTTTTATTATTCTATTGCGCGTTCTTACTTCGACGATTGTATAACTTATGGTGATATGATATATTATGGTGTGTGCCCGATTAGCGAAATCATTCCTTTTTGCTCGTGGACATAACGATGATTGCCCCGTCGTTTAATTCGCAATATCTAGATGGACTGTCGACCTATAAGGCTGTAAAATGAAAAATGTGTGGCGGAAAAATAGAATGCTTTAGTAGTTGATACAATAATTGTCAAGCATGACAGGAATAGCAAATAAAGAATTCACGAATAGGTGCTCCTCTCGAATGAACCATTAACTGATAATTGCGATAGGAGGAAATTTTTCACTTTGTAGCTTTATTTTTGCACGAGACTTCGCGATGGGGAATTAATTAACCGAGTTGAGTATTAATCGTCTTGATAAGTTCTTACGTCATTGCAGTTATTTCGATATACAATACATTTGTTCACCGTCCAGGAAACTTAACACGTGTGAACAGGATATTAAGTCTTTTAATAACTCGCTTCCTACATTTTCTTTTTCAAGACACAGTTGCAAACATTCGGATTAATATCTACCACGATAATGTGTTTTCTTTCCCCATGTTTTCTCCCCGATATGAAATAAAAAACGAGGAAATTGCGAAACAGGGATTCCTTTTCAGAGAGTATGTGTTACCTGGAAGCAAGTATCACCCTCGCGCTTATTCCATCAACGATAACGAGTTTTCTTCGAATTTTGCGCCGTTGTACAGGAACAAATAAAGATGGATATTATGGAACACGAAATTGTAGTAATGGAAATGTGTCGAGAGTGATTTCCTGTTAAACAGCATAATATTCGTGACTTCAATGTTTGACTCCGATGAATAACATTCGGAAAATAAAGTTGAAGCTCACGAACAATATCGTTTTGATTAGTTCGTGAAAGCAGTGACAATTCCATCTTGATTCTCTCCTCAGCCTTTCAACGCACAAATTTCTCCAATTTTCTTCCCTGACATCCATTTGTTTCCATCGGTGAGGTGCGATGAGGTTTAACGGGACGGAATTAGGGCCAATTTTGGGAAGAATAGCAACCTCTGGTGAGCGGCGAGATTTTTCTCAATTCTCGTTGCGGACAGATCGTTTGGAAGACAGATTCCCCAGTTATTCTAGACGAAGATAAATACGGAGAAATTGCGTGAACTCGAGCCCAACCATATTGAATCCAAATTGAAATCTATACCTGCGAAACGTGTGTCATATCGAAAGTTTTCTGTATCCCTAGCTTCATAGCCTTCTATAAATATAGTCATTTATAAATTTTGAAGATTCCATTGGGAAAACTCGTGGGACATTTTCGATCATGAAACGAATCGATTTTCGAAGATAAAACGATCATTACCACGGGATTAGTTATTGCACTGTGTCAAGGATATCCTTCGCTGTCCGTCCCGAGGAAATTACGCGCGAAATGGAACTCGAACAAACGAGGATACTTACCGGGGGCAAAGATGTAGGATGACTAGTTCCATCTAATGGGAAATTTACCTCAATGACCTTATGGGAATGGGGTTTTTGAAGGACTTTACAAAGAGATTCACCTTAAAGATCATGTATCGGAAATCTTCGATACAAAGAGAAATTTTGCAAGATTTATCAGCTGAAAAGTGCAGTCTTCTGCTACGTAATCCAGTCTTTTCAGAACAATACAGCCATCGATATATCCTTCGTGGAAATTTTCAGTGAATCAAAAAACAGAAAATAATTAAGAGTATCACCGTATTTTTGCCATGACAAAAGAATTTTCAAACTAAAATCGAAGTAATGATCCATTCGCTTCTACCCTGTCTACAAAGAATCAAAGACCAAAGGGAATAAGTTAGTACAAGGCTCGTATCTTCGCTATTTCATGCTTATCTCTTTAACGTCGTTCAAAAAATTGATGTCAAACTAGAACATATAGCGCGCATCAAACTGAAAGGTTTTATTAAAAATGTGTTCAAACATGGAGTTTCCTATTG